ATTTGACGCTTTTTATTACATTTTGGAAAATCTATGCGAGCAATTGACAATATTATTTTAGTATCAAAATAATACGGTTAATCCAGTCCTGCCAACCCACCACTCACAGTTGCAGCTGGGAATATTAACATTGACACTTTTAAATTATGCTATATATAATATTATGGGCATAGGCGTGCACAGACTTAAATTTCTGGTCGAGCCTGGACAATTTTAGTGCCGTAATATTTGGACAGCGCCGCTATTTTTTTTTAACACACCAACATACATGTTGATGTACTAACCTATTAATGTCTATAGTACTATAGTTATTGTATTTGTGTAAAGGTATAATATTTTTTTTTAGATTAATAAAATGTATGTAATGTTTATGTTAGGTGGTACACCACAAATATTTTTGATTTATACTTCACGGCAAACAAAATTTTCATGATCTCCACCGACCGACATATTATTAAAATATAAGCATCATAATAAAATATTTAAATATATACGCACATTTTATTATGCCCCTAAAAAGTTTCAGGTCGAGCCTTGGCTTGACCGGCTAGCCCCGTGCGCACGCCAATGATTGTGGAGTACAAACCCTTTTAGACTTTTGCACTTGTTGTCTATGTAATAATATCTGCGGGTACATGCAAGACATACCTATCTATAACAATAATAATAATAATACAAAATAATAATAATAATAAGTACCTAGGTGATGTATCATATAAGTATATAACGCGGACAGACTGTCATGGAACATTGCCGGTATTATAATATGAACAGGACACGATATGTACCTAGGTATATCGCGTGAAAATGCAAATTGACTATTATTCGAGACCTGCAGCAGCCACTGTAAACCTATTTCTATAAGTGCCTAAGCATTATATTATTGTACACGAGCACAATACTATTGTCGTGGTATTATTATATTATAGTTGTGGAAATATACGGTCAGACACTCGTATTGTATGTATAGGTGTACGTCGTTCACGTGTACCCATAATATGTAAGTACAGAGGTCGCATAGACGAGCTTTGTAGAAGGAATTGAATACAATGTCTAATGTAATATTATAATAGTATATAGATAGGTACCCGTCGGTGTGATTGATGCACGATATGTAGACCATACGGACACATATAATATACAGGGTGATAATATTATATAATATTTATATCTTGACCGCAGTCGCGATGACACTCCATCGGCGCATCGAACACCTGCTATTAACATTTTTGAAAATAATTATTATTGTGTTTATAAAAATTTGAATTCGTCACAAGATCGCAACGTCGTTTTCGTATGAAGAACTATATTTTTTTTACCAAATTTTATTATATAATATCGTTATAAAATTATGTTTTCGGGTTTTTACTTTTCGAATACTGTAAAAAATCTAAAATCTAAGTTTGGTAGGTAGATACCCTTTTTCGTATAAGTGTTTTACTAATACAATTGGTGTAGAAATTATATATGAACTTGTGTAATACGCATTCCTATCGCTATATTTTCATTGTTTACTGTTTGCGGTTCATAATATTATATTGTTTCGACCAGAATAACATACCTAATAGGCGCTGCAGCAAATCCACGGCAAAAGACTCCCCCCCCAGGCTTTTATTCGTAAAATTACATTTACTATTTACCAATACAGTAATACGTAATGACTATTCACTATAGAGATATTATACGTTTCCAATAATTTTAAATAATATTTAGGTACTCGGAATGAAATTGGGTAAATTAATTATTAAAAGTAATAGGTGCATAAATCATAAAATGTCTCAGAATAGATGCAACCTAACACACTCGTACTTCTCAGACGACGATCGGTAGGTACTTATTACATTTTTACTATGACTAAACAAAATAATTTTTAGTAGATATAATGATTTTTATAGATATTATTTTTAAGTTGTTATCATCTGCAACGCAATGGCCATAGACCTCATACACATTAGTAAACATAATTATAGCGAGTCAAACAATCAAGGCCGCCCGAAGAAACATTTCTCGGGGGGTCTAAAAAAAAATATTTTCTCAACCGTATAGTAATCTTAAATCCATGATTTAAATAATTTAATGTTCGTATATAACGTATATCATCCAAATAGCGAGGGGGCACGGTCCCAAAAACCCCCCCACCCACCACGGCGGGTGGCCTTGATAACAACACTACGTATGGGGACACATAATACCTAAGCCTAATAAATTATTATATTATCCGTTTAATTTTCTAAATCGGTAAACTTTTGAATTATGACGTAATGTTGTAAAATACCTACTATACATTATAGTAGGTATTAAACTAAATACTAATACAATAGTTACATAACTACACTATGCATTCGGTAGGTATGTTATAATAAACCAAATTTATTCTCAATCGATTTGAATTCCATTTAGTGAATGGTAAATGTGTTATAAATACACGATTTTGAGTTACAAGACAAGTAGCGAGACACAACATATTATTTATTTATAGGAAAATCGATTTTAGTCACCAATTTTATTGTTCTCCTAAATAAAAACTCCTACTATACTCAACAGCTAACTTGTTTGTCTATAAACAAAATTTAAAAAAAATAACATATATTTTAAGTCACAATTCCTATCTATTACAGATATTATTCTCACCTGTAACTAAAATGTTTTGATGTGTAGATATATATGTCATATGAACTATAAAGTTACCTATTTAATATTAATTAATAATTACAACTTCATCCGTATACTAGTTTATAATATGTGTATTTCTAATGTTTGGTAGAAGGTACTTTATACCTATTATAATAAATGATCAACTTTTGTTTGTATTCATCATAATAAATTAATAAAAATTATTGCTTTTATAAGTGATGGTAAATCAAATTTAGGTAACCAACACATTTTGTATTGTTTTATTGAAATTACTGAAATAATTTTTAAAATAAGTTTACACAGGTCATATTATTTGTTAGTCTCGCTATGTATATATTATCTTTAATCAAAATTACTTATTTTACCAAATGTGTATGGATTGTAATTATATTTGAATAAAAAAAAAAGTCATATTATGCAATAGGTGAGTTATTTCATTTAAAACTAGAGATATTAGGATGTATAGTTAAAGTTAGAATTGTTCAATATATTGTTTAAAATGTTGAACCAAAAAATGGAGGTTTGATACATTATTCGTAATCATTTTAAAATCACTTTTGAATGATAATCATTTTAATTTTTCAATCTTACATTCGATTAAAAATAATTTTGATTTAAGGGCTTTATGTGCTGGCACGTGTATTTTAAGCAGTAATAATATCCGTAACTTAAAGTATTTTTTAATTTGTATCTATGTATATTGGAAATTGACTGTGTCAATATAAAAAATGTAATTAAACATTAAGTGTGTGTAAGCCCATTAATGTCATGATGATGTGCCATCCCATAGTATTCTTATTCATTACCATGATATGCGTAGGAAATAATTAACTAATTCTTACTATCGTTTGACAGTTAGTCATAAATTAATTATGATTTTGTTTTCAAAAATGTCACATAAATATCCTTTACTAGTTACTATATTATATATTTATACGGAATGTTCTGATTTATATTATTTTAAGAACGACTTTTAAAAGCAGATTTTGTTCAACTCATGTTCATATTATATTGTGATCATGCAAGTTAAAATTAATGTTTAACTTTGGGAATAATTTCTCAAAGAAAATGTAGGAATCAAATAATTTAATTTGTAAGACATAAAGTGTGAACTGTTATTAGTTTTTTTAATTAATTCTTTGAAGATACTCATGATTGTTACAAGTTTATAATAAATTACACATTTACACATAAATCCCATTTTTGTAAACGTTCTACAATGTCTATTGCATAGTAGGTTACTATGTCTGTATGCATCTGTATGTCTTTAAAATTTGTCACAGTATATGCAAATAAGATAAACATAAATTATCAACAAATAAATAAATATATATTTTCCATCAAATAACAATCTAAACAATAATTGTATAATGACTTAAATTCATATAAATTAAAAAGTAAATTTCAACGGTATAAAAATAACTATCTCAGTGAATTACTCAATAACATGCTGTTTGTGACAGCAAACTATACAATCTTTATAAAAAAAATAAAATTATCATATTCTATACAAAGGTTTGTAGATATATAAATACATATTGTATTATTCAAGCAAGCTACCATTTATAAATATTGACAATATACTTTTCTTACAGAAGAATTAATTTTGAGAATTACAATAAATTACCAAAAGTATTGTTAATAATAGTAACAAATAGAACTTCAATAGAATATTGTAACTAACAACAATGAGTCACTTAGCACTTAGCAGCATACAAATTTTAACATAACAATGGTTAATATTAGAAGTACATGCCAAAAATATAAAGCATTTATTTCATTGATCATATCTGAAAAATGTAACTGTGCAATAGAGAATAGACGATGAAGTGCTATTGAACTTAACTGCAAAGAATGAGCTTTTTGTCTCGTGTGAATTATCTAGTGTAATTAAAAGTAGACTAGAAGGAATATTTAATTAAAAAAGCAAGATACTTTTACAATAATATATTTGACAAATTTTAGTAGTTAAATGTAAATAAAACTTAAATAATAAAACATTTAAATATACATTTTAACTAAATAATTTATGTAATAAAATTTATTTTTATTTTTCAAATATAGTTTGTAAATAATATCTGTTATGTAAGTGAAGACAAGTAGGTATATTTATAGGAAAGCACAATAATATAGTATATAAAAATTCAAATGCGATGTTGAGTATCATTAATTACGATATTAAATGAAAGCAGAAAATAAGATAGAAATTTTCAATTTTGATTTATTAAGTGCAAATTTGATCATAAAAGTGCAATTATTAAAATATAAATATAGTCTCATTCAAATATATATTATATTAAGTATAAAAAGTATGTATTTAGTATAATAGAATAATAAATTGTAATTGCAGCGAAAGGTCAGACTTGTCAAACTGCACCAATTGATGCAAACAGTTTTTTTGTATCCCTGTACACAGGAACAAATAATGGGGTTAAAAAAATGAATTTTAGATTTTAATAATAAATTACTAAACATAAAAATAATCAATTTGAAACGAATGCAGTTACTTAAGGTGCATGTATATCAATATCAACAATTTGAATTAAATTCTGAATGAATGCTCTAAATATATTGTTATCATTTGATATACATTATATTATTGTATTGTCTCTCAATTATTTATTCTTACGGTTTCAATTTAATGTCCAAATGTTCTTTCACGCTATCCAAATACTCGTTAGTATTCAAGTACATTCCTTCTTTTACATTTTTTAAACCATGTATACAAGCTGCAAGATCTTTAGTCATATGGCCAGCATCAACACTTCCTACACAAGCTTCTTCCAATGTATCACAAAATCTATATGATATAATCAGATTAGTATTAGTCAATATGTTAAGACAACCAATGTCTATCAAATTTACTTGGTAAGTTCAGGAGTGTTATCAAGCTTTGCCCTGTGCTTAAGACCACGAGTCCAAGCGTAAATTGAAGCAATTGGATTTGTTGATGTTAGTTTTCCTTCTTGGTGTTGTCTGAAAATAATATATTTGTTAATTGACATAGATTGAACCATATTCATCATATATATTATTACCTGTAATGTCTGGTGACTGTTCCATGAGCAGCTTCAGATTCTAATGTCTTACCATCAGGGCATACAAGAACTGAAGTCATAAGGCCCAAAGAACCTACAAATAAATAAATAAATAAATAAACTGCAATGGTATACCAATTAAAATCAAATTATCTAGAGTGTTGTTTCCACAAACCATATCCCTGAGCAATAATATCAGACATGACGTCTCCATCATAATTTTTACATGCCCATACAAAACCACCATCTCCTTTTAATGCTTGTGCTACCATGTCATCGATCAAACGATGTTCATACCAAATTTTGGCTGCTTCAAATTGAGACTTGTAGTTGCTATAGATAAAATAATTAAATTACAATTCAATCCATATAATAAGGTGTACCTAATCATACTAACTCTTCAAAAATATTTTGAAAAATGTCTTTGAATCTTCCATCATATTTTTTAAGGATGGTATTTTTTGTAGACAAATAAAGCGGCCATTTTTTCAACAAAGCCACCTTTTTATAACAATTTTATAAAACTAATAAATAATAATTAAAAATAAATGATAAAATGTAGGTATAATTATTTGTCTAGACAAACTTGAAAACTGGAGTGAGCAAATGAAGCTATTGAATCGTCCAAATTATACATGGCCATCGCAACACCAGGAGATTTGAAATCAAACACCTTAAGCTTCTCTACTTGCCCTTTGTGATCAGTAAAAACTAATTCCAACTAGATAATAAAAAATAATCATTATTATTGTTTTTTTTTACTACAGATAGTTTGGATATCTTCTAGTATGAACTATGCAGTTTCTAGAATCCACAGATATTAATAATAAATAAATATATTTTTTTTAAATATAGTAAGTCATACCGAATATCATTTTAATTTTATTAATTATTAATTTCATGTAAAATCATTAAATTTAAAAAAACGTGTATTGTAAATTGCATACTATACTTTTATTATTAATACAGTATACCAAAATGCATTGGTATATGCATGTATCACATATTGGGAGAGAGCCAATAGTTCAAATTAGTAATTACTTACTTGACCAGGCCTGGTTACTAAGTAATCAGTAGCTTTGTATTGATCACCATGAGCATGTCTGCCAATAACAATAGGTTTGGTCCAACCAGGGACCAGTCTAGGAATAGTTTTACATATAATTGGTTCTCTAAAAACTGTTCCGCCAAGAATATTACGTATTGTACCATTAGGACTGAGCCACATTTTTTTCAATTTAAACTCTATAAAAGACAAGTAATTAATTAATTTATAGTGTTGTAAAATGTAATTACAATACTAAGCATTTTTATACCTTCAACACGAGCTTCGTCCGGTGTTATAGTTGCACATTTAATGCCTACATTATATTTTAATGTAGCTTCAGCAGCATCTATAGTTACTTGATCATCAGTCGCATCTCTATTGGGTAGACCAAGATCGTAGTACAAGCAATCTAACTAAGAGTTAAAATAAATTACAAAAAATTGACACAGACAAAAAAAATTGTAAAACATACTTTTATGTAAGGAAAAATTAGTGTTTCTTTTATTTTTTCCCACATAATTCTAGTCATTTCATCACCATCCATTTCAACTATGGGATTTTTAGCCAAGATTCTTGTTGAAGCTGTGGCATCTAAAATTTCATACAAAAACAAAATTACATAGATACACTACATTACTACATAGTTGTATTTGTAAGCTTAAAATTATTTTAAAAACTTTGAAGAAACTAATTCCAAATGATGTAACATATTATTAATCAACTTAGAACTGTTGTGATTTGTGTAGGTAATATACCTAATATCTATAAGAAAATTTAATATTTTTTAAACTATGATTATTTTTGCCTTTTTTAGTCATTTTACATAGGATCACAATTGTAATTCTTATTTTTTTTTAAAGAAGTACTTTTTTCTTGGATATTTCTCAAAGTACTTTATATTATTTTAAGTAGACTCTAGAAATGCATGCGTTGTCAACTTGGTTCTGTCTTACATACGCATTACATACTAAATTGTAGATTCCAAATAATCCATTTAAATCTGCAAGATTGATATAATGCATTTGGGTGTACCGTCCTCTTAAAAGTTGTTAACATAATAGTGATTGTTCTTAATTTTAGATTATTGCAATTTTATTAGCTATTATAGTAACCAATATACAATGTAATATAAAGTACTTATTACCTAACCATTATAATAACAGATAATGTACCTAAGTTCGATAATTTCAAGTGTATTTACCGACTATCTATATCATTAGCAAAACAACAAATTGTGACCTATTTTTCACTTGTGGATATACATATATATATATAAGTGTACATACACTTTGTAACTTTTGATAATCCACCTATAACATAGAAATTAATTTCCGGGAGTCATAAGTGAACAATCATTTTCTAAACTTCAAACAATAATTATAATAATAACATAGTTCCAAAAATATATTCCAACTTATTGTAATAACATAATAATATTAACTTTATATGAATGAATTATTATTAACTAATATTATAAATATTGTAGCAACAATTTATAACATTTTTTTTACATTAATAATATTTTAAAATATAGGTATTACAAATCAAAATAGGATTTATAATAGTCTTTAATTTCAAAATATTCAAAAAAATCAAAAAAGGTAAGTTAATGTGAAGTTTTGATAATTTTTGGAATGATTTAAAAATATTGTTCTTATAGTAATTATCAATGTTAACGGGAAAGATATCAGGAGTAATATCATAGGTTTCACGTAAAATGTAAAACACGTTGGTAAATTAAAAATCAAATCAGTAGGTGAGTAACAACAATGAATTGGTAATAAAAAAGTATGAATGTATGATTTCACTAAAAATCACACATCTTACTGAATAACGCAATCATTTATTATTACAACACCTATGTACCTTTTTTTTAGTTGAATACAAATTACAAAGATGCTAAATCACAATTTACCAAATACATAATATTATTTGGATCATGGAATAGGTATTATAATATTTTAAAACTCTGATTCATCAATCGTAATGCTTTGGAGTGTAGATAATTATTTGTTAATGTAAAAATGATCGAAAAAACTGAATATTCTTCATTTCAACCACTGAACTGAATATGTGATCTCAACACTACAGCTAGGTATTAAAAATTAGGCACATTACAATTATATAGGTGCCAACCAGACAAAATATACACTTTACAAACCCATACTATCAGTCAACGGTTGATTTAAATGTTTTAAAAAACACAACCAATGTTTTAAATACACAACCTACAACAGGTTTAACACACGTGAAATTTATGTTAAAGACTTACAATTTCGGTTACGAGCCAAAGCTGTGGACTTGGCCAGTCCAGCGGTCAGCCCCAGTAACTTCTTCGCCATGGTCCGGTTAATTTGATTGATATAACGCAGGTACAGCCTACAGGACGACTAGACCAGAAAGGCGTGTACGAACTACGAATGTCGAACACGACGTTCACTAGACAAACGAACAGGTCGGCTGTTGAACGTAGAGTGTCGGCAGTCGGCACTCGGCGCTTCGGTGGTCGTGGTGGTAGTCAACAACAACTCCGATAGTCCAACTCCGAAGTCTGTTGAATAATATTGTATTATTTGTATTATTTACTATTATTATTATCTATAAACCTCGGCAGCGACTTCGGTTCGCTCAACAGTGTAAATTAAATCATGTTGTTAACATGTCAACATGATAACATTGTTATTGTTTTGGTCCGACGTCCGAGTGATAATAATTGTTGGTTGATAACGCGTGGTAGATAAGACCACCATGTGACCTGTGTACCATGAGTGAAACACGTCGAAAGCTATAAATTATGGTCTCCGTCTCGAACCAATCATTTTGTACATCATAATATTATTATATTTTGTTGTAGTTGAAAATATTATAAACGATAAAAATGATCAGTCATCGTCATTGGGTGATTCGGTGATCAATGATCATAATTCATAGAAATATAGAATCATATTCCATAGGTAACGAATTATAACCATTTATTTTAAAATCAATGCTATAACGAGTATAACCATTAACCAAGTAGGTAGGTGGTACACAGTGGCGTAATTACGGGGGGGGGATTTGGGTGTCGTATCCCCCCCCCCTTGACCATTTTTTTTTTTTTTTAATCGTCAAACACATTTATGTACTAATTTTATTAATGTATATTTCATAGATAATACAAAAATCACCTGAATCTCCATAATATTATACAAATATATAATCATCCATCAATATTATCATATACAGTGTGATCACGATTTTAGGTACCACTGAATATCACAGATGGATGACTTTGTATTGAAATGGGGTTTTCGGGAGGTGATAGGAGCACTTAAATACATATTTTCAGACCAGTTTCAAATTTTTAGCTCACTCGGTACCGGACTAAGTACGTCGGTACTTTTTTTTAAATTTCAACCCCAGTTTTATCTGCAGATTCAGGTAGAGTATTTATTTTTGAACATTTATTGAACATTTATGCATAATTCGTGTTTAATGATATTTTCATTTATAACCAGTTGAAATAATAAAATAAGAGCCAAATAAATGTTTAATGGCGGACGGAAATCGGCCAAAACCGACGCCTTAGTCCACTCAGCCACCCCCCCCCCCTAATCAAACATTTATTTGGCACTTATTTTATTATTTCAACTGGTTATAAATGCAAATTGCATTAAACACGTATTATGAATAAATCCAAAATTTGACTTTCTCTAACTTGGTCAGTTTTATAAATAGAAAAACTTTCAATACAAAAAATGTTTAAAAAAAAATACTCTACCCGAATCTGTAGAAAAAAAGTGCGGTTGCCATTTAACAAAAAGTAAGTCAAATTGCGCATGCGCATACCCAGTGAGCTAAAAATTTTAAACTGGTCTGAAAATATGTATTTAAGTGCTTCCTATCGGCTATCACCTCCCGAAAACCCCATTTCAATACAAAGTCAGCCATCTGAGATATTCAGTGGTACCTAAAATCGTGATCACACTGTATATACAATATTAGTTATTACTAGGGGCCGGAATTATATTCTTTTAAAATAGCCAAAATAAGATGCTAATATTCTCTTAAAAAGTTAAAAATATTCTTCCAATATTCTTTAAAAATAATAATAAAATATGCAAAAAAAAATGCTTTTTTATTAAAATATTCTCTTGAACTAAAAATATGCATTTATATGCAAAATAATTAAGCAAATAATACGAACTCATATAAGTAAATAGGTACATAATATGCAAAATAATATAAAAACCTGATATAAATAGGTACCTACATAATAAAAAATACTACTTGTTACGAAAAGTTTGATTTAATATTTAATTATTTTAAATTTTTAACTAAGAAAATTTTTGAAAACAGTTGACAACTATATTTTGTTCCATGTTCCCTGATGTCATATTTGTACAACGGTCGGTTAAAATGTTTTTATATGTGCTATTTATATTATTTAGGCCACTGCAACAAAAAATATCGAACATCTACAAAAATTAATCGATATATTCTCTAATATTTTTTATTATACGAAATATTCTTTTATCTTGAAATATTCCCAAATATGCAAAATAAACTTTTGCCATTAACTCACCTGTTTCATGATTTGTAAAGATTTCGAACCCCCGTCTGACTGCATAGACTCAAAAAAAATATGCAAAAGAATATAATTCCGGCTACTAGTTATTAGTTATTACATACAGATCATAATGGTTGTATTATTGTATTGAGGGGTGCTTATTGCTTATAGCTTATGCCTTATACGATTAAAAAAAAATGTTGAGGGGGGGGGGGTAATTGGTGAAATGTACATACATTTCATCCCCCCCACAACCATGACCAAATTACGCCACTGGTGGTACAGAACTACAGAAGCAGGTTGTGGGTAAAGCATAAAATTAAAACCCAACTAAATGTACATGAACTGTATGAAATTGAATATTATGTCTTCGACGAAGTCGGCAAAAAGAAAAAAATCAACTAGTACCGATAAGGATAAGAAGTACTTACCCAGTCAACCCAGTCTAACCTAACCTACGTAATACCTATTCCAGTGGCGGATTTAGCGTCAGGCAAAGTAGGCAGTTGCCTAGGGCGGCAAATTTTTAGGGGCGGCAATTTTAGGTCAATATTTTATTGAGAATACTCTAAGTTTCTTTTTGATTTTCTAATGTACGGTGATTACTCTGAAGGATGGAAAAAAAATGTTTAATATTTAAGTATAATAATATTCTTGTTAATATAATTTCTTCTTTATTTTATAATACATAACAATAAACGTCCAAGTAAATTATCTAACGACTGCCGGAACGTAGATATATTATCTAAATACTAAACATGGATAACATATTTCGTTAATTTGTTTTTTTGCTAAGTTGTAATAATTATTAATAAGTTCGTTTGATCGCACGGCGTACACACACTACACTCACAATACATACAGATATGATATATTTAATACGAATAAGGATTAAGGGTGACGATCGATTCGTATTGGAACGATAGTCTAATTATAAACCAGTAACTGTGAATATTTTTATATAATATACTCGTACGTACTATGCATTATGTGTACAAAAATAAAACTATTTCTATCCAAAAGATAAAATTATGTAATAATTGTTTATTTTTCTTCGGAACTATGAAATAGAGAGCGGCCGAGTAAAAAATAGGTTTATTCTGATTAGACATTCGATTATTTTCAACACAACATTCAAGGCGGATAAACTTCATATTTGGTTATTAGTATACTACTTAAATTACTGGTAAATAAACACTATATTTTATAAACACATTTTATTAGAATAGTTTATTAACATAACTGCCATTAATAATTGTTTAGTTGAGTTCATCAGTCTTTATGATTTATTTTTTTAGTACTTAATATGTTAAATGAGTATTTAAAAATTCGTTTTCTCGTTGATAAGTTTAATGGGGCGGCAAAAAAAAAATTGCCTAGGGGCGGCAATTGTGTAAATCCGTCTCTGACCTATTCTAAGTAAGTGGTTGGGTAATTCTATCGATGACTGAAATGTCATTGTGTGTTCAAAATATAATAATATATCTACATTATAAAGTTGTAAGTACTCATCAATAATAATTTTAAATTACAATAAAATAACTGACATTTTTATTCTTCATTTAAATATCTAATTTCGTCCAAATTTGAACAAAATATCTATTAAAAGAAATGTGTATACCTACCTAGGTACCAACTATAGATAGGTATGATATTAGTATATTTTCTAGAGTTTTTGGGTTACAGTATGAAACATTTCGGAGAAACTTTTTTTCAAATGTTTAATTCTTAGCTTTTTTAAAATTTTTAACTAAATGCAAAACAATTTGTAAATTTTTCTCATTTTGATGAATTTTTTCAAAATGTGAACTTTAAATAATGATTAAAAAAATCGTGATGATGTTATATCTTTAATATTTTTAAATTGCTATAGGAAAAACTTATGTGGAACCATAAATTGAATTTTCTAGCCTTTTTATCCAGTAAAATTTTTTTATCGATATCTATGGAAAAAAAAAATAATTGAAAATATCAAGAGTCTATAAAAAGTTCAAAAATAGTCAATGTAGTTTGAAAATTGTGTCTTGTATGAAAAATGGTCTTATAAACATTTGGTGAAAATTTAATATATCTAGGTATTGTAATAGTTTTTTTATTTTTGAGTTACCTACCTACCTACTATAATACGATATACAGACAAAAACCAAATGTATTTTTTCAAAACTGGTATTCCCATAAAAATTTGAGGTTTTTCTTATTCATCTTTTTTTTCTAACATTTTAATACTACTGTAAGGATTTTCAATTTTGATCTCTCAAAAATACCAACTGGATCCAATTTTCTAAAAGAAACCACCCCCAAAATTGAAAATCAAACCATTTTTTTTTACTACATTTCATTTACCTAAGTCCTACACAGGCACAAAAAAACACATCACTGTAAAATCAATACATTCTTCGCACTTTTTTGAAATGTACCTGGGAAGTGTACCTGTGTATTAAAATAATGTATATTATTTATTTTATTTACATTAATAACTAATGTTCCCCAGGCCCCTACTATAATTTGAACGTAAATCATATAGCTACAGGAATTAGATGCTCAGCTAAGTATTTAGGACTTACAAAAATGTAAGACCTTTCGGCGAAATATTGAAAATATTAGCACCGTGATGGCGTGATAAAATGAAAGTTTGGCGTAATATCCGACGAAAGCTAAGGAATAAAAGAT